ATAATCAGGATAATTTTATGGGAATTATTACACCAAATGATTTTAGACCAACATTTCCACCATCTATAAGCGAAAATAAATTAGTTAATTTTAAAGAAAATGGAGAAAAACCATTGAGAATATCTAGTTCTTTTATATATTATCGTAAAATGTTTGTCAGAGAATTTAAATTAAAATATGGTAGAGTTCCATCAATGACTAAATTATCACCTATAATCTCTCAACGTTGGAAAGAAGAACCAGAATACGTTAAAGAAACATATACAAATATTGTGTCTGCAGCAAAAAAACGATACGAAAAATTATGGCCTAAATACAATAAAAAATCTATCTCTAGTAAAATTAATACTGATAAACTTGATAATGAATATATTGAAAATAAAACCTTTATTAATAATAAACAGGTTTATCATGATAACTCTCAGATCAATTATAAAAATGAAATTTTTTTTGTTCCTGAATATACAATATATGATTCTACTATGCTTTATTCTCCAAAATATTATTTTAACGAATTTCTAAATCAAACAAATGAATTTGATTATTTTTATTATTAATAACTTTATAAACAAATACATGATATTTATTCAACAAAAAATAAATATTTATATGATTAATAAGATTAAAAATAAAATTATGTAATAAATTATGAATTTTGTATTCGATCAATTATTTGTCATATGATATTTTAACTAACCTAAATTAATTATTAAATTTTGATCATGTGAAAAGAAATTAATAATTGTTTGATACATTTAGTAATAAATCATTATTGTTATATTTGTTACGTTTTGTAATTTTTTTTTTAAATTTTTCATACAAATATTTAAGATTTTTTTTACGAAACGTCATATTTTTTTACTGCGTCACATAAAAAAAAAATATTTTTTTTTTTTAAATTTTATTTATTATTGGATTTTTTGAACGTGAAAATTTTTATAAACTTTTAAATAATTCATTAAAAGACAACAAACATGTGATTTAATTGCTTTTCCTTTTCTTTATTATAATAACAATACAAAAAAAAATCAATTTTTGTTTCGTAAGTTATTTATTTAAATTATAATAATTTTACATTAAATATTTGTTTTCTTTTTTCTTTTAATTCGTAATTTATCTATATTAAAAATTTTTATATCATTATGATTTCCCATTTCTAATATTTTCATATTTTCATAATAAATTGATGCTTCTACCAAATGTTTTTCAGAATATCTTTTATAACAATCTACAGAATGTATATTTAAATAATGTAAATTTTTTAGTTTAGTCATTATAAATGAAATATCGTCATTATCAATATTCATATCAATTAATGAAAGATGTTTCAAATTAAATAATTTAACAATGTGAAATTTTGTTACAAATTTAATATCTTTTAATTCTAAATCTGTTATATTTAAAATATTATCAAAAAAGAATTCAATCTCTTCAAAATCTACTTCTGACAATCTTAAACCTTTGAAATTAAATCTTGTCAGAAAATTTGTTGTATCTAAATCTACATTATCTAGATCTAAATAAATTTTATGATTTATCATATATTCATTTAAGAT